CCCCCAGAGCCCCCCGCCCCCAGCGCGGACGAGGACGGCATCAACCTGGAGGAGATCCGCGAGTTCGCCAAAACCTTCAAACTGCGGCGCCTGTCGCTGGGACTGACCCAGACACAGGTGGGACAGGCACTGACCGCCACCGAGGGGCCGTCCTACAGCCAGTCGGCCATCTGCAGGTGAGGGGACAGCTAGTGACACCTGGGGACAGGTAATGACACCTGGGGACAGGTAATGGCACCTGGGGACAGGTAATGACACCTGGGGACAGGTAATGACACCTGGGGACAGGGACAGGCACTGACCGCCACCGAGGGGCCGTCCTACAGCCAGTCGGCCATCTGCAGGTGAGGGGACAGGTGAGGGGACAGCTAGTGACACCTGGGGACAGGTAATGACACCTGGGGACAGGGACAGGGACAGGTAATGACACCTGGGGACAGTTAATGACACCTGGGGACAGAGACAGGGACAGGGACAGGCACTGACCGCCACCGAGGGGCCGTCCTACAGCCAGTCGGCCATCTGCAGGTGAGGGGACAGGTGAGGGGACAGGTAATGGCACCTGGGGACAGTTAATGACACCTGGAGGGACAGGGCCATCTGTCATGGTGATCCCCTCAGGATCGAGAAGCTGGGCATCCCCCCGTGTGCCCCAATGTCCCCACTATCCCCAATGTCCCCAATATCCCCAATGTCCCCAATATCCCCAATGTCCCCGCTGTCCCCAGGTTCAAGAAGCTGCCCATCGCCCTGAATGTCCCCATGTCCCCACTGTCCCCAGGTTCGAGAAGCTGGACATCTCGCCCAATATCCTCAATATCCCCAATGTCCCCCATGTCCCCAATGTCCCCTCTGAGTGTCCCCATGTCCCCCAGGTTGGAGAAGCTGGCCATCCCCCTGAATGTCCCCACTGTCCCCCATGTCCCCAGGTTCGAGAAGCTGGCCATCACGCCCAATATCCCCACTGTCCCCAATGTCCCCAATATCCCCACTATCCCCCATGTCCACAATGTCCCCACTGTCCCCCATGGCCCCATGTCCCCAGTGTCCCCACTGTCCCCAGGTTGGAGAAGCTGGCCATCCCCCCAATGCCCTCACTGTCCCCAATGTGTCCCCAGGTTGGAGAAGCTGGACATCCCCCTGAATGTCCCCATGTCCCCACTGTCCCCAGGTTCGAGAAACTGGCCATCCCCCTGAATGTCCCCATGTCCCCAATGTCCCCAGGTTCGAGAAGCTGGACATCACCCTGAATGTCCCCATGTCCCCAATGTCCCCACTATCCCCAATGTCCCCAATGTCCCTCTCACTGTCCCCACTGTCCCCAGGTTCGAGAAGCTGGACATCACACCAATATCCCCAATATTCCAATGTCCCCAGTTTCCCCCATGTCCCCACTGTCCCCAATGTCCCCCAGGTTCGAGAAGCTGGACATCACACTCAATTGTCCCCACTGTCCCCAATATCCCGACTATCCCCACTATCCCCAATGTCCCCATGTCCCCCAGGTTCGAGAAGCTGGACATCACACCCAGTGTCCCCTCTGAGTGTCCCCAATGTCCCCAGGTTCGAGAAGCTGGACATCACCCCCAAGAGCGCCCAGAAGCTGAAGCCGGTGCTGGAGAAGTGGCTGCGGGAGGCGGAGCAGCGGCAGCGCGAGGGGCAGCAGCGGCTGCTGGAGTTCGTGGGGGGAGAGCCGGGCAAGAAGCGCAAGCGCCGCACGTCCTTCACCCCGCAGGCCCTGGAGGCGCTCAACGCGCACTTCGAGCGCAACGCGCTGCCCACGGGCGC